GTAAACTAATGTGTTTTATGACCAAGTAATGAATAGGGCAGAATATGAGTTGAGCCGTATAGGGATGGCACGTGGTGGAGGTTAAGACAATTGGATTCCACGTGGCCAACATGTGGTTTGAGTACTGTACCCAGCTGTTTGAAAATCATGCTGGGCGTGTATGTGTTCGTGGCTAAAGTCCTGTTTGGAGCATGGAGCAGAGGGATTGCGTGTGGCATCTCCCCCTGGGGGTGGGGGTGGGGTAATTTCTCACATTCCCTTTTTCTTTCTCTCTCTGGTGAGTTGCTTGCACCCTATAGCAAAATTGAAAAAAAAAAAAAAAAGAGTTTAACAGGATATTTTAAGTCTAGTTTCTATAATTTATGATACTTAAGGATTTCTTTCTCTTTTAGGTCAGTTCCTAGAAAGCTTTTCCTTTGGGTACATTAAGTCCAGTTTCAGTACCTGTGTTTGGAAGTAATCACTATTCCTTTATTCATTTACTCAATAGTGAGTACCTATCATGTACCAGGTAGTATTCTAGGTTGAAGTGTGTAGGACATAGAATGTGCCCCTACTCTTAAAGAGCACACATTTCAAGAGACATAGCCAACAAACAAATAAGAAAAAATATATAAAAATATAAAATTTTGCAGTTATTATTATTTGTTTTGTTTTGTTTTTTTGAGAGGTTTTTGCTATAGGGCATGTGTGCTCATCAGAAAGAGAGAGAGAGAGACAGAGAGACAGAAAGTGAGTGAGAAATCACCCCCCCTACCCCCCGGGGATGGTCACGCCGCAATCCCTTCTCTTCAGTTCTCCTCTCAGGATTTTAGGCGCACACGTGCTTGGCATGAGTTTAAGCCATTGGGTCCAGGACTCGAACCACGGTCAGCTACATGGGAGTTCAGCGACATAGCCATTACGCTAACTGCTGGTCACTATAGTTACTATTTTTTTTTGTAGAGGTTTTTGCAATAGGGCGCGTGCACTTGCCAGAAAGACAGAGAGAAACAGAGACAGAAAGCGAGAAATCACCCC